AGAGAGAGTATTTAAATATTTTGATATGCCCAATAAATCTTTATTCTCAACAATGACTTTTACTGTTTGATTACAGATAAAGATGATCCTAAAGACATAGAGATATCATGAAATTAGGAAATTAGAAGACCCCAAATTTCATCATGTTTGATACTCCTATCTGGATGTAACATTCTAAATAGGCTTACTGTTAGTTTATCTGTAAAATGTGGAGGCAAACAAATCATGCTATCAAGTTGATTCCAACTCATATAGGGTTTCCAAGACTGTAAATCTTTACAGAAACAGACAGCTTCATCTTCCTCCTGTGAAAGCAGGTAGACCATATTAGTGACTTTAAAGCTTTTCCTCACACATTTTTAAAAAAATCAGTGGGACCCTCTTTCAAAAAATATTACATAAAATCTGAATACATAAAGCAAATAAAGTGGATCTGTTTGCTTAGGCTCCTGCTGGCCCCTCAAAACAGTTCATGAGGCATGAGAACAGCTTGGCTCACTGACTTCTGAAGTCTCCATTGGTTCTCAAATTGTATAACTTTTGTTTTACAACTCATTTATTTCTCTATTTGAGGTACCTCTTGCTTCAAAATTGTTGTCTCTGATTCCTTTTGGAAATAGTGGTGTGTGTTGGGAATTTTCATTTCAATGTGATTGAAAAAGGAAACATATTAAAAAAGAGTTCACTGTATCAGTGCTGTTGATAAAATCATATTTTGTAAGAAAATTAATAAACCCCGTATATAAAAAAATGGTAGTAATTAATTGCTCATAATTCCTTATTTTTCACAATTACCTCAGGAAAAATTTCAGTTCATATATCAATTAAGTTAAATAGAAATATGTAACTATGATAATCTGCTTAAACAATTTTTCTGGCCTTTGTTCCATTTACTTTTGTTGCATAGGTGATGTTATCTTTAAATTATGTTACCCAAGTTTATTTATATTTTTCTCTCCCTCTCTTTTCTTTCCTTGTTGCTATTATCAGAATATTCTTTCAGAGAATGATCTTTTGTAGAAAAAGGGGAAGTAGAAAGGGATTTTGCTATATAGTTTGTTTCCATTGAAATAATTCTTACTTATTTAAAACAGAAATTAAAGAAGCACATAAAAGAAAAAAAATAATGAAAGAACGATTTAAGCAGGAAGAAAATATTGCCAGTGCAATGGTAGTTTGGATCAATGAGATTCTGCCCAACTGGGAAGCAATGTAAGTGAGCAGATTTTTCCTGAATTCCAGTTTACTTACAAAAAGGTCTCTGCTATCAACTCTGTGTTGGTATCACTTCATAGCGTGCAAGCTAGGCTTTGGCTGAGGCACACCATTAGCTAATGCTGGAATACTTCCACGTTTTATCCCTGTGGCATTGCCTTTTGAAGTCCTCAATCTCTAATACCTATTTCCTTTACTGACCATCCTCTGTGTCTCTCAAAATCTTACTTATTTTTTAAGATCCATCTAAAATTACTAGTTGATCCATGAAACTGAAAGTGTATTCATTTACCCTACTTAAGTGTAACATATCATCATTTATAAGATGTACTTCTATATAATAGCAGAATTTTGGAAAGAAAATGTTAAATTGAATATGTACATTGATTGTAAGAGACATTTATTGAATGTTAAACATTAAAATTATTTTTAAACGTTTTTCTAATAATCAAGGAAATATGATATATATGATCTTTCTATAAATATCCCACCATTCTTTGAGATTAATATAGCTCTTATCTTACTTTGCCTTCTATGCTTTGATACTATTTTTATACAGGCCTATCTTCTCTTAAAATTAGAGGGTAGGATGTATCTTCTGCAATGCCTAATATAGGGTACACAATGGGAATTTGTTGAATATTAGATATTTTATTAGGCTCTTTATGTAAACAATATCATTTGACTCTTACAACCATTATGAGGTATATATGTTTTACCCCCATTTATTTTACAGGGACGCTCAAGGTTAGAAAGGTTAAGTGATTTGTCCAAGGTTATACAGTTATTGGTAATCCTGGTGTGGCGCTGTAGGGTAAGCACTGGACCTTAAGTTTGGTTTGAACCTCTAGGTTGGTGGTTCAAACGTATCAGCTGCTCTTGAGAAACCCTATGCAGGGTTGTTGTGAGTCGGAACCGACTTATAGCACTTAGCAACTGCATACAGTTTAGTAAGTGGTTAAGTAAGATTTGAACTCAGGTTTGTCTGGCTCTAAAGCCACAATCTTAGCAGAATACACTGCCTCTCAAAGACTAGGGTCTTATTCACACAGATCCATATTGAATTGGCAGCACATTTTTATGTCCCTTTTATCCCTTTTTTTTTCTTTCATAATTGCCCGCATATTTCTGAGTCTTTCATTTTGTCCTTGGTAAAAGTGGCAACTAAAGAAGGCAGCTCTCTTTAAATTATTATTGTCCCATTTTGGAATACTATGTTTGTAAAGGAGCCTTGGTTCCTGGTGAATAGCCAGTTCTACTCTGTCTTACAAGGTTGCAGTGAGTTAGAATCTACCTGACTGCAGTGGGTTGGGTTTGGGTTTCTGTATTTGTAAAGGAGCACTGGTGGTGCCATGATTAAGTACACGGCTGCTAACCAAAAGAATTTCCAGTTCAAACCCACCTGCTCCGTTGTGGTAGAAAGACCTGGAGATCTACTCCTGAAAAAATTGCAGCCTAGGAAACCTTACGAGGCAGTTCTATTCTGTCCTGCAAGGTCACTATTGAGTCAGAATTGACTCAGTGGCACACAACAGTAGCGTCTATTTGTAGTTTTTGTTGCCCACAAGCATAAGCTCAAAGGGAAGAATCTATCACATACTGATGTTTGTAAAAATCATCCAGTCACTTGGCCATAGACTAGGTAAACCATCATGCAATTAGTATTTTTGATATAAAAAGTAACTTTCTCCTTTTTTTCTCCCCCTTTAATTCTAGGCGTAGTACAAGAAGAGTTCGAGAATTGTGGTGGCAGGGATTGCCCCCTAGTGTTCGTGGGAAAGTTTGGAGTCTAGCTGTAGGAAATGAACTAAATATCACTCCTGGTTTGTATTCTATGTTCAGTTACTCCCACATTTACAAATAGCCATCTCTAGAGTTACAAAGCAGATTAATAGGTTGGCCACGGAAAAAGGCATTCCCATATCTAACGTATTTTAAAATCATGTTTCATTTTCCTCCCTTTAAAACCTGATATGGTTTAGTAAGTATATTGCTATATTTCATCTTATATTAAAAAGGTTTGTGGTTTTTCTTTAAATTCATCACTATCAATAATATTCTTAATGTCTAAATATTAAGTTGTTCTTGTTGGTAGCTGCCATTGAGTTAGCCCCCAACTCATACTAATATCATGTTTCAGTGTAGGTAATTTGGAAAACTTTTGGAAATTCTAGGTAGCAGTAGATGAGTACGTATATATGAGAAGAAATGAAATCGTCTACTTAAAGAAAAGCTTCCCCTTTCCCCCACCTCAGAAAGCATAAACATTGAGAGAAGGCTGGAAATAAATTTTCCTACTTCTGTACTCAAACCAATCCTTTTGGATTTTTTCTTTTCTTTTTTTTTTTAATGAAAACATTAAAGTTTCATTAAAGTATAAAATCAGAAAAAGAAGAAAGAAGACTCTCAAGGAACTGTTGTCTCATTTTCTTAAATTTATTAAAACCTTGAAGGAGAGGATTAAAACGTAGAATAGTTTAGGTGGATTTTTTAAAAAAACGTTTTATTGTGAATTATGTGATAGCTTACATGGGAGAACATTAGCTTTACATTCATCTCATCGTATGGTATATTGTTTCGTTGCCATGGTTACAATCCCCTCCCTACATCATCAACCAACCAAAGGGTATACCCTGCAAGCCTGCCCCCCAGTGGTCAACACACAGTCGCTCTCTCTCCCTGGGTCTAGAGTCCCTGGCCGTTCCATCTCTCCACGTCGTCGTCTCTGCCTCTATCTCTGGCGTCACTGCTTCTCTGGGTAGGGTCTTGCACTCCGCTCTTGTCCCTTGATGATTCCAGGGACCTCTGCTCCTGGTAATCACTCCCCTCCTTTTGCTGCAAAATGTCCACCTTTACATTTCCAACCCTCTCAGTCAGTCCTGATAACAATTATTCAACATTGTACCACAAGGAACCTATCCCCATTTCCTTTCATTAGCCCCGCCCAGACAGATTGGATACTGAGTGTGGAGATTCTACCTTCATCCGTGCTCTTGGGATCTAGGCTCCCTCTTGAAAGCTTGTAAACTAGTTACTTCTTGCCTTTGTAGCCCCCCCTCCCACCCATTTTGGGTAGCCGATGTCCAAGTTGCCCATCCCTGTCTACTCTGTGTATGGAGGGAATGGGAATGATCCTTGCTATAAAGATCTGTTCCCTCTTTTGAGCTACTGCATCCATGGGTAAAGGTCAAGTTCATCAAATTGTATCACATTACTCTTTTTTTCCCTCTTCTTTCTTTTAGTTGAGTAGGTAGATTTTTTTTTTTAATTAGATAAAATTAAGATAATATTTGATACAGTATAATACAAAATAGGGAATAAAAGGTGTAAAGGTCTAAGTGATAATGATAATGCTGAATATTGGCACCATACGCAGCCTTAGGGAATCTAGTATAATAATGGAAACAAGACATTGTTCCTGTTTTAAAGTATTTATCTGCATATTTATTGAAAGAAAAAATTCAAGCAGTGGTAAAGTGCAAGCTCTTCCCCTTTCCTACCCAAAGTCCCACTCTCGATTCTGCTATAGAGGTTATTGTTGTTAGGTGCCATCAAGTCTGTTCTGACTCATTGTAACCTTATGCACAACAGAACAAAACACTGTCCAGTCCTATGACATCCTCACAATTGTTGTTAAGCCTGACCCTATTGCTGCTACCACTGTGCTAATCCATCATGTTTGGGGTCTTCCTTTGTTTCCCTAACCTTCCACTTTACCAAGCATGATGTCCTTCTCCAGGGACTGGTCTCTTCCTGACAGTATGTCTGAAGTATGAAAGACTAAATCTGGCCATCTTGGCTTTCAAGGAGCATTCTTGTACTTCTTTCAATGCAGATTTGTTTGTTCTTCTAGCAATCCAAGGTACCTTTAATATTCTTCTCCAACTCACTTCTTCTATGGTCTTCCTTATTCACTGTCCAATTTTCACATGCATATGAGGTTACTGGAAATACCATGTCTTGGGTCAGGTGCACTTTAGTCCTCAAACTTACATCTTTACTCTTGAACACTTTAAATAGGTCTTTTGCAAGCGGATATGCCTAATGCAGTATGTTGTTTGATTTCTTGATTGTGCTTCCATAAGTGTTGACATTGGATCCATGCAAAATGAAGTCTTTGACAACTTCAATCTTTTCTTCATTTATCATGATGTTCTTTATTCCTCCAGTGGTGAGGATTTTTGTTTTCTTTACGTTGAGGTGCAACCCATACCAAAGGCTGTGGTCTTTGATGTTCATCAGTAAGTATTTTAAGTCCACTTAGTTTTTAGCAAGCAAGGCTGTATTATCTGCATACCACAGCACAGGTTGTAAATGAGCCTTTCTCCAATGCTGATACCACGTTCTTCTTCATATAATCCAGTTTTTTGAGTTATTTGCTCTGCATACAGATTGAATAAGTATGGTGAAAGAATACCACCCTGGTGTACACCTTTCCTGATTTTAAATCAGTCAGTGCCCCCTTGTTCTGTTCGAACTACTGCCTGCTATGTACAAGTTCATCATGAACACAATTAAGTGTTTGGGAATACTCAATTCTCTGCAGTGTGGCCCATACCTTGTCACGATCCACATAGTCAAAGAGCCTTTGCATAGTCAATAAAGCATAGGTAAACATCTTTTTAGTATTCTCTGCTTTCAGCCAAAATTCTTCTGTTATCTGCAATGATAATTCTTGTTCCACATCCTCATCTGAATCTGGCTTGAACCTGTCAATGTAATGTTACAGCCATTTTTTGAATTACCTCGAATAAAAATTTGCTTGCATGTGATATTGTCAAATGATTTCCGTTGAGTCACCTCTTTTTGGGATGGGCACAAATATGGATCTCTTCTAATCAGTTGGCCAGGTAGCTGTCTTCCAAATTTCTTGGCATAATTGAGTGAATGCCTCCTGTGCTGCTTCAGTTTGTCGAAAGATTTCTATTTGTATTCCATCAGTTCCCAGAGCCATGTTCTTTCCCAAGGTGTTCAGTGACATTGGCTCTTGATCATATGCTACCTCTTGAAATGGTTGAACATTGACCATTTATTTTTGGTACAGTGACTCTGTGTATTCCTTCCATCTTCTTTTGATGCTTTCTCCATCATTCAATATTTTGCACTATCATTCAGTATTGAAAGTCGAGGCAAGTTTCGGCTTCTCTTCTGACATCCATTTTGTTTTTTTCTTTACTTATTGACTTCTCAATGACCTTTTGCTTTCTTTCTGTATGATGTTCTTGATGTCATCCCACAACTCTTCTGGTTTTCGGTCATTAGTGTCTAATGCATCAAATCTGTTCTTGAGATGACCTCTAAATTCAGGTGGGATCTGTTCAAGGTTATACTTTGGCTCTGGTGGACTTGTTTTACTTTTCTTCAGCTTCAGCCTAAACTTGCATTTGATCAACTGAGGATCTGTTCCACAGTCTTTTCTGGCCTTGTTTTGGTGTTGATAGCAGCTTTTTCACCATCTCTTTCTACAGATGTAGTCTGTTTGGTTTCTGTGTATTCTATCCAGTGAGGTCCATGTGTAATCGTCTTTTATGTTGTTTGAAAAAAGGTATTTGCAATGAAGAAGTCATTGGTCTTGCAAAATTCTGTCGTGTGATCTCCAGAATCATTTCTATCACCACGGCCTTATTTACAATGACTGAACCTTCTTCTGTTTCAGCTTTCACATTCCAAACCCCAGTAATTATCAGTACATCTTGATTGCATGTTTGATCAATTTCAGATTGAAGAAGTTGGTAGAATTCTTCAATTTAATCATCACTAGTTTTAGTGGTTGGTGCATAAATTTGATTAGTGGTATTAACTGCTCTTCCTTGTTTTTGTCAAGTGCCATCGAGTCAACTTTGACTTACAGCGACCATGTATAGGGTTGCCTTGGAGTGGTTGGTGAGTTTGAATTACCTACCTTGAAGTTCAAACGAGGTCGAGTGCTTATCCTTTGGCTCCACACCAGGACTCTGGTCGTCCTTGTGGGTGTATGGATATTGTCCTTTTAACAGACAGCATTATATTTCAAGATGGATCTTGAAATGTTCTTTTTGCCCAGTCCATTTCAGCTCACTAATGCCTACAATATCGATGTTTATACATTCCATTTTTATTTTCGACAACTTCCAATTTTTCTAGATTCATGCCTTGCACATTCCATATTCCAATTATTAATGGATGTTTGTTGCTGTTTCTCCTCATTTTGAGTTGTGCCCCATCAGCAAATGAAGGGCCTGAAAGCTTTACTCTGTTTGTGTAACAGTCAACTCCACTTTGAGAGGCAGCTCTTCCGCAGTCATTTTGAGGGCCTTCCAACCTGAGGGGCTCATCTTTCAGCACTGTATTCTGGCGCTCTTCATCATTTTTCAAAATTCAGTATTCTGGTGCTACCTGAAAGTATTTCATTGCTATTCATAGTGTTTTCCATGGCTAAACAGTGGAACTAGTCCACCTCTCCTTCTTCTGAGTCTTAGTCTGGAAGCTGGGCTAAAACCTGTCTACCATGAGTGACACTGCAGGTATTTAAAGTACTGGTGGCATGCTTCCAGCATCACAGCAACACGCAAGCCACCATGGTGCAAAAAAACTGACAGACAAGTGCCTGTAGGTATTTTTAGTAAATTGGCAGATATTCCTCCAGACCTCTTGCTAGGCACATGAAAAGTGTACAACTATACATGATAAGTTTTTGGGGTTTTTTAACCCCAGAGAGAAAAATTTGTATTATAATATTATTCTGAAACTTGTTTCTTTCATGTTATTATCTTGGACATCCCTCCATGTCAATATACAGAATTCTACTTTATATGAATTATAGCTGTGTTATATTTCACTATAATGTATTGAATTATTTTCCAAGTGATAGATCAAAGACAAATATGTTAAAATAACATAAATGTGTCTTTTCTCACACCTTGAATTAAAAGAGATTAAAATGAAAGAGAATTACCCATAAAGGATTGAAAATAATTTGGAAATATTTATCAAAAACCTCAAAAGACATTATCCTTGACATATTAATCCAATTCTAAGAATTTATTTTAAGGACACATCAGGATTGGGAAGCTTTTCTACAAGGATGTTCACTGTAGCGTTCAGTTAGCATTAAAAGTAATTGGACAGAATTATAGCAAAAATCTAAATGTCTATTTTTACTCTTAAAAGTAATTTTACCTTTGTCTTAGAATGATTATATAATTTTAAACACCTAGCTTTCATAAATAATTGTATAATGAGCATGTATATTAACAAGAATTTCATTTAAGTTTTAAAAGTAGACTCTAAAGGAAGAATTAAGAGTTTGAATTTAACTTAGAAAAGATTTGATTCTTCATGATGTAACTGTTCTCTTTGAATATTAAGAAAAGGTTTATATTTGTCTTCAGTTGTTAGAACAGATTAAAAAGAAGTGTTTTTACATTTTATTCAGAGATTTCAATTAGATTTTGTAAAGCCTTCATATCAAGGATTGTTGAATGTAATGAAATTGTTTATAGACTAATGATCTAGTGTTAGGTCAGATGTCATAGATTATGGGCACAGTCCTCCACAAAACTATCCTCACTTCAAATACCAGATACAAATTTGAGGTTTCAAGATCACCTACATTTCTAGCCAACTGGCTAAAATATTTGGGGGTTCCCAATGTATGGGTTGTTATGGGTCGGAATCGACTCGACGGCACTTAACAACAACAGCATATCCCCTCAAGTTACCAGCTACAAGCTCAGAGCTTCCAAGAATACTTCACTTTTGAGCAACTGGCTAAAAACTCAGTGGTTTCCAATACCCTCTCAGGTTCAGTAGTTTGTTAGAATAACTCTTGGAAATCAAGAAAGCATTATATTTATGAATATAGCTTTATTATGGATAAAAAGGTTACCAATTAGGACGAGTCAAAAAAAGAGACACATAACAGGAGGTCTGGGAGGGTCCTAAACTCAAAAGTTTCACATCTTCTCCCTGTGGAGTCAGGACATACCACTCACTGGCAAACTGATGTATGGTCAATCAGGGAAGCTCATCCAGGCTTTTGTGTACAGAGTTTTCATTGGAATTTCATTACATAGACGTGATTAATTGAATCCTTAGCATGTGATTGAATTCAGTGTCTAGCCTTCCTCTCCTCCCATGATAATGTGTGATAGAGGGTTCTCAGGTGTCTAGCACACACCCTGACTCACCTTATTAGCATGAACCATCAGGTGTGGTTTGGAGGCCCTGGAAGGCTAACAAAGACATCTCAGTCATTCAGGACATTCCAAGGAATTATTTGGGAATACAATAGGTACTCATTCCTCCCGGTTTCATTAGTGATGGGAAGGATATTAAATTTTGAACCAAGTAGAATTATTTTTTCATAAGCCTGTTTATTTTTAAATGATTGTAGTAATTTGATTTTTATCCGTATTTGTCTTAATCATAAAATTTATAGTCCCTAGAGAATAGTAACTAAGATTAAGGTCTCTTTTGCTGTTCTTAGGTGCCTTTGTGTTGGTGCTGACTCATAGTAACCCTTTGTAGGGTTTCCGGAGGCTTTACATCTTTGCTGGAGTAGAAAGCCTCATCTTTCTCCCTTACGGTCTAGAATAACTTGTAGAATTTTAAGGTCTTTAAAGTCAGACAAATGCAGTTCAAATTTTGTTTCCATTATATATTAGGTTTGTGACCTTGGGCAAATTACCTAACATCTAGAATTTATTCATCTGTAAAATAGGGGTAGTACTATTAGTCACCTCAAAGAATTGTTCTAACTGTTGTTAGTGTTAATATAAAATTACAGTGAAAGTGAAATTGCTGTGTGTGTGTGTAATATCATTATCAGAATATCAGAAAGTGAAACATGCATCAAAATCAAAGTACTCTCTGTTCAAGTGCAAGGTACCATCTGCTCTCCCTTTGTGGATGCAAAATAAATAAATATGGCACAAGGGGCCAAGCGTGGATTTGAATTTAGATGCAGTTCACAGATAAGCATTGCATATCTTCTCTGTAAACATTTCCTTTGATATTTTCGAATGCAACATTTTTACAACATTTTTATTATTGGATCAATTTTGTGGCTTCCAAAAATGGCACATTTGTCTGGTGAGCCTTTCTTCTTCCAGAGCAGTTGTGAAGTTTAGGTGGAATAGTGAAGTTGGACCTGACTTGGAACTAGTTTGAAACCAGAACATGCAGTTTTCAATTTGATACCTCAGAACCCCAAAATAATTACGTATCTAAAATTTTAAATTGGATCTGCCTCTTCGAAATCATTGATGAGGTTGTGTACAAATAATAGAAATTTTAAATTTGATTTTTTTTTCCTTAAAAATTTTTCTCTTATGGAAGAGAGAAGATATCAGAATAATAAGAGTCTAAAATATATGAGTCAGCTATTTTATTGATCTGTTTTCTGGCAATATATGGAATATTTATTACAGTACTGTCATACATTGGAATACTGTGCAGTTGTTTTAAAAAACTAAAGCAGATCTCTACCTTCCATCATGGAACAGCCTCTAAAATCATAAAACAAGATACAAATCAGTGCATGTTTTATGTTACTGCTGTGCTTTTTATAAAGACAGATTTGTTTGTACATGTGTACTTTCATCTTGAAAGGGTCCATGAAATTTCTAGGACCCATAGTTGTGTTTAAAGAAAGAAGTGAGAAGGCAATTTATTTTTTAACTCTATTTTATACTGTCTGACTTTTTAAAAACCATGTTTATCTTTAAAAATAAATTAATTTAAAACAAGATTTAATCAAAGCAAAAAATATAAACGTTGGTGTTTGGGCAAGAAATCTTTTTTGCTTTTCTTTCGTCATTAAGTTTTTAAAATTTTATATAATTAACGAAGATTAGAAAGTAGAGATGATTAAAATTTAATAATTAAAAATGTTTTTCTTCTGCTAACTGGTTTTAATGAGATAGTGATAGTCTTAAAAAAAAAAAAAGGGCCATTTAAATTAGAAATAGGGGTAGAGATTTTTGTATTTGACCCTTTGGCCAAATCTGTGGGAAATAAGGTAGCTTTAGATGGCAACATAACCAGTTTCGGGAGAAAAAGAAAGCAAGAGCTAGCACTTAACAAGTGTCTATAAGGTGTCAGTCTATAAGGTGCAGGAACTTGCATAAATTATTTTATTAAGTTATTAGTAACCCCATGAAGCAGATGCTAATGTTCTCCAGTTTACAGATGGAGAAAGCTAAGTTCCAGAGTGCTTAAGTAACTTTCCTAAAGTTCCACAGTTACCAAGTAAATTGGAGCAGGAATTGTAAGCCAGATCTCAATGACCCCAAAAGTCATGTTTGTGCTGTTCCACATGATGTTCCTTTAGCGGAAGCATCTTTTCCATCTTGTTCCTAGGAGTGTCTTCAAAAAGTTTGTGGAAAATGTAATGGAATATTTCCACAAACTCTTTGAAGCCCCTTCATATTGCCAATATTTAGATGACAACAAAAAAAGTATTTCTGGATCTTTCTGGCTGTATAGTGAATAGTTTTGGTAAAACAGGTATTTAAATTTGCCACATTTTTAATATCTGCTGCATTAGGGATGTTGTTGTTGTTGGTAAGTGTTGTCAAGTCAGTTTTGATTCACAGTGACCCTGTTTAGAGTTCCTGAGGAGCAGCTGGTAGGTTTGAACTACCAGCCTTACGGTTAGCAGTCCAGTGCTGATCCTACAGCGCCACACCAGGACTCTGCATTAGGGATACATGACCTTTAATAGGTAGAATGAAGAGCTAATATTTAAACATATGAATACATTTCTATTTATGAATTTTTGTCTTTATTTTTTTTTTCCAGAACTTTATGAAATCTTCCTCTCAAGAGCAAAGGAACGATGGAAAAGTTTCAGTGAAACAAGTTCAGAAAATGATACAGAAGGTGTGATTAAAAAAAAAAAAAGAATTTCAGGATAAAAATTCAGCTTCTGAAGATTAAATAGCCATGTGTCAGAAACTGTAGCAATTGCTTTACATGTATTAGTCTCATTTAATCTTAATAACCATAGTAGATTGTTACTGTTAAATGCCACCGAGTCGATTCCAACTCATAGCTACCCTGTATAGGGTTTCCAGGCTAGTGAGTTTGATCTGCCAACCTTGTGGTTATTAAAATTCTTACTTAAAATTTTCCTTTTATATAATATTATACTGAATTGTATAAAAGGAAACTATGGCTCAGAGTGGTTAAATCATCTATAAGCAGTGAATCTGTATTATAAATCCAGGTTTTTAGACTCCTGAGCCTAGGATTTTAGTCACAACAGTAAGGCTAATGGGAAGAGGTACTTTTAAGCTAAACGTTTAATCTAAAGACAGATGGTCTTCATGCCCTATCTGAGACTTCCTGTCTCCAACCTCATTGAACTACCAAAACACTGCCCTATCCTGTGCCATTTTTACCCATTGCTCTTGCCACTGTGTCAATCTCTCTTTGAGGAGAGAGTTGGTTTCCTCTTTTTCACTGTCCATCAACTTTACTAAGCTTGGTGTCCTTCTCTGAGGACTGATTCCTACTGATAATATGTCCAAAGTATGAGAGACAAAGTCTTGCCAGCCTGACTTCTAAGGAGCATTCTGGGTGCACTTCTTCCAACAATAGATTTGTTTGTGCTTCTGGAAACCTATAGTACTTTTTACTGTTCTTGTCCAATATCATAACTGAAATGCATTGTTATTGTTGTTAGATACCGTCAAGTTGGCTCAAACCTATGTACAACAGAGTGAAACGCTGCTGTTCTGCACCATCCTCACAGTGGTTCCTGTGTTAGAGCCCATTGTTACAATCATTGTGTCAGTCCATCTTGTTAAAGGTCTTCCTCTTTTTTCATTGACCCTCTACTTTACCAAGCATGATGTCCTTTTCCGGGGACTGGTCACCTGTCCAAAGGAGGTGAAATGACGTCTTACCATCCTCACTTCTAAGAACCATTCTAACTGTACTTATTCCAACACAGATTTGTTAGTTCTAGCACTCCGTGTATATTCAATATTCTTTACCAACACCATAATTCAAATGAATGGATTCTTCATTGGTCTTCCTTACTCATTTTCCAACTTTTGCATACATATGAGGTGGCTAAAAATACCATGGCTTGGGTCAGGTGCACCTTAGTCCTCAAGATGACACCTTTACTTTTTTTTTTTTTTTTTTTGACAGAAGAAAAAGTGCATTTTAAGTTTGCCCGATTCTGCTCGTGACGACGCCATTTTCTGCCTGTGACATCATGGGGAGCCACTGTGCGGCGACATCATGAATACGTGATGTCATGGAGGGACTGGATTTTGGGGTTTCTCACCAGTTTGGGTTCCCAGAGCGGGGTCTCGGTTTTCTGTTCCTTTTGGAGTCGGGAGTGGGCGCCGCGAAGCCTGGCTGTTTTCCAGTTTCAGCAATGAAAGCACTACAGCCAGACCTGCTCTTCTTCCCGCAAAATGCGACACCTTTACTTTTTAATGGTCTTTTACTGCAGATTGCCCCGTACAATACGTCTTTTGATTTCATGACTGCTGCTGTCATGGGTTGTGGATCCAAATAAAATGAAATCCGGGTGTTGATGGTGGATCCAAGTAAAATTAAATACTTTGCAGCTTCAATGTTTTCTCTGTTTACTATGATATTACTTATATTGGGCCAATTGTGAGGACTAACCCATATTGAGAACTACTGGTGTGGCGCTATAGGATTAGCACTGGTCTGTGGAACCACAAGGTCAGCAGTTCAAACCCACCAGCTGCTCCTTCACAACAACAACAACAACAACAACCCATATTGAAGGTTATATAGTCTTTTGATTTTCATCAGTAAGTACTTTAAGTCCTCTTCACTTTCAACAGGCAAGGTTGTGTTGTATTCATATGACCAGCTTTAAATGAGTCTTCTTCCAATCCTGATGTTGGGTTCTTCATATAGGTCATCCTCTTGGATTTTTGCTCAACATCAGATTGAATAAGTATGGTGAAAGCAGATAACCCTGATATACACCTTTTATAACTTTAAACTATGCAGTATTCTTTTCTTCTATTCAAATTACTTCCTCTTGGTCTATGTACAGGTTCCATATGAGCACAATGAAGCGTTTTGAAATTCTCATTCTTTACAATGCTAACCATAATTTGTTATAATTGACACAGTCTAATGTCTCATTGTGTAGTCAATGAAATACATGTAAATATCTTTCTGATATTCTCTGTTTTCAGGCAAAATCATCAAATATTAGCAACGGTATCCTGTACTCCACAACCTCTTCTGAATTCAACGTGAATTCTGGTTGTTCTCTGTTTCTGTACTGCTGCAGAATTTAGCAGATAATTTGCTAAATTATCTTTAGCAAAAATTTTACATGTATGTGCTATTAATGATACTGTGTGATAATGCCGCATTCTGTTCGGTCAGCTTCCTTTGAAATGAGCATGAATATGGATCTCTTGCAGACAGTTGGCCAGACTTCCAAATTTCTTGGTAGTTGTTGGTGGTTATGTGCCGTGGAGTCAGTTCTGACTCATAGCAACCCTGTACAGGGTTTCCAAGGCTATAAGTCTTTACGGAAGCAGAAAGCTTCATCTTTCTCTTGCAGAACAGCTGGTAGTTTGGAACTGCTGACCTTGTGGTTCACAGCCCGATTCATAACCACTATACTACCAGAGCACCAAATTTCTTGGTATAGGCTAATAAATGCTGTCAACACTGCATCAGTTCATTGAAACATTTTCATTGGTTTTGTCAATTCCTGGAGCCTTGTTGTTGTTTGTTTTTGTTTTTTGCAGTGCCTTCAGTGCAACTTATACTTCTTCCTTCATTACCATCAGTTCTTGATCACATGCTACCTCCTGAAATAGTTGAACACCCACCAAATCTTTTTGGTACAGCAACTCTGTGTATTTCTAACATCTTCTTTTCAATACTTCTTGTGTTGTTCAATATTTTGTTGATAGAATCCTTCCGTATGCCAATTTGAGACATGAATTCTATTTTTTAGTTCTTTCAGCTTGAGAAATGCTGAGCATGTTCTTCCCTTTTTGTTTTATAATTCCAGATCTTTGCACATTTCATTATTATACTTTGTCTTCTCAATCCGCACTCAGAAATCTTTCATTTAGCTCTTCATAATTTCTTCCTTTCACTTTAGCTTCTCTAGATTCTAAAACAGGTTTCAGAGTGTCTTCTAATATTCATTTTGACCTTTTTTTTTACTTTTTTCTATTTTCTTTAACTTATTTGTAATAGTTAATTTTTTTCTAACTTTTTATTGTGAATTGAGTGAAAGTGTACAGAGCAGATCATTAGTTTTACATTCAGCAGATCATACACTTCGTTTTATCTCAACGATTATAATCCCCTCAGTATAACATCACTTAGTGCTTTGTGTCTTGTTTCCATTTCTCCTTTCTGAAGCAATAATCCTTCACCGTTTAACTTTCAGATAAGTGTATAGATACTTTCTTCATATAAAAAGCTCTAATTTTCACAAAAGCTATGTGACATTTCTTGAAATTTCCTGATTATCCAGCTTTTAACTTTCATTAAGTAACAATATGCTATGTGATTATTCTGTGTTTACATGATTGAACTTGTTACAGACAAGTAATCATTTTATATTGTCTACTTGGCAAATGCAGGTGTACCTGTTGCTGATAGGGAGGCCAGTCTAGAGTTAATTAAGCTGGACATATCTCGTACTTTTCCATCTCTCTACATCTTTCAGAAGGTAAGGGTTTATTACCAATTTGTAACTGTTCCATTTTAAATCTTTTAATACACAAGGAAACAAATTCTCAAAATGCATACCTATAATTAAATTTTAAAAAGACAAAGGTATAAAAATAAGGGACCTTTTCATAAAAAGTGATGCTAGTCAGAAAAAGCTAAAGGAATTTCTATTATTTTATTGCACTGATCTTGCAGTTGACATAGCAATTCCAGGATCCAACTTATAGTGACCCTATGTAGGGTTTCCAAGGAGCAACTGATGGATTTGAACAGCCAACCTTGGGATTAGCAGTCAGTGCTTATCCTGCAGTGCCAGCAGGACACAATTTAGTGTACCTTGATGGTGTTCTTTAGCTGAAATTCCAGTATATGAATTAAATAGTTTGTTAGTCATATGCATATTGCTAGACCTAAATGTCCTAAAAATTGTGCACATATAATGTAGATTGTATCCATCAAGTAAGTTTGTTTGTCTTTTTTTGTTGTTGTTCGGGGTCAAATAAATAATTTTAAATAATACATTAAAAAACAATAATACTTTAGATAACATTTCAATAGATTGTGTAATAACAATTGCTTATTATGCTAGCTGAAACAAGTAGTCATTTAGGAAATGTTAGAGCTTATTTGAGAATTGTTATGCTATGTGAGAATTACAATGATTATTTTACAGTTTCAAATATCATTTTTCTTTTCTAAGGGTGGCCCATATCATGATGTCTTACATAGTATCTTAGGGGCATATACATGCTACAGACCTGATGTTGGTTATGTAAGTATATGTTTCAATATGTTTTTTTCCTTAAACATAAATATTTTATCTGTACTTATATCAAAGTATAATCATATTATATTATTTCCCAAGTGTCTGAATCTTTATTCTTGAGTCTATTAGTTTACTCAGAGAACAATCTTCTAGTCTCTTGCCAGAGGCTTATAAGATTGTTGTTCAGTTCTGTTGAGTCGGTGATGACTTACAGCAACCCTGTGCATAACAAAACTAAACACTGCCAGTCCTGCACCATCCTCACTATCATTGTTACACTTGAGCCCATTGCTCCTGCCACTGTGCCAGTTCATCTTGTTGGGGTTCCTTCTCTATTTCTCTGACCCTGCACTTTACCAAGAATGATGTCCTTATCCAGCAACAGGCCTCTCCTGATAAAATGTCTAAGCATAAGAGATAAAGTCTTGCTACCTGACTTCTAAGGAGCATTCTGCCTGTACTTCTTCCAACACTGATTTTTTTGTTCTTCTGGCAGTCCTTGGAACTTTTAATATTCTTCTCTAGCTCCATAACTCAAATGCATCAATTCTTCTCTGGTCTTCCGTATTCACTGTCCAATTTCTACATGCATATGAAGCTATGGAACGTACCATGGCTTGGGTCAGGCGTACCATAGTCCTCAAACTGGCATCTTTGCTCTTGAACACTTTAAAGAGGTCTTTAGCAGCAGATTTGCCTTATGCAATATGTCATCTCATATCTTGACTACAGCTTCCATGAGTGTTAAGATGGATACAAGCAAAACGAAGTCTTTGACAACCTCAACCTTTTCTTCATTTATCATGATGTTATTTTATTAGTTCAGTGGTGAGGATTTTTGTTTTCTTTACATTGAATACAAACCATGCCACCACTCGTCTGTCAGTTTGACGTACTGTTGGTGGCTTTTGAGTTGCTGTGATTCTGAAAGCTATGCCACCAGTATTTTAAATACCAGCAGGGTTACCCATGGTGGACAGGTTTCAGATGAGCTTCCAGA